ATCCCCCAAGAAAAGCACCCAGGTAAGTAGCATCAGTTGTCTTTGGTTGGCTGTCGCCTTAACTACAAGAAGGGATACATTGTCTTTTTAACAAGTTGGGGACCTTGGAAATACAAGCTATGCCCTAAATACTGAAACATTATCATCTTATTCCTTGATTGTACCTCAGATGCCTTGCCCTTTTTCCTCTGTCAGGGCCAATGTACCTGGGAAGATCACTAGGTCCTGCTGTAAGTTTGACAGCTTGGTACTGTTTCCTGTTGCAGGAGCACAAACAGCCTCCCCAGGGTATATGAAGCCAGCAGTGTTTGCCATGTTCATTCATTAACTACTAACAATTATTATTACAGCATTATTATACTAGCATCCCTTGATCTGCACATAACCTCAGTTAAACCAAACTCACAAGTGAAGAAAAGTTTAGATTTTAATAAAAATTGTTTCTATGTTTCCCCTTTTAACATTGATGGGTTTTGCAGGTAAAATAAAATTTAAAAAAAAAACGGATTGACACAGACTGGTGGGGCAGAAAACAGTTTGTTTTTTTACGTCCTAACTTTAGTTGTCTATACCTCTGGATCTTTTGTTCATGTTGGCATGGGTTAGTTTAAATTGGCCAAGTCTGTAATAGGTGTGCTTAAAAAAAAATAATCTAGAACACTTCCATTACTATGAAATTGGCTAAAATGTCTCTCTGAATGAACATCATATATTTTTTTTGTCTGTGTGTGCTACTCCAAAACTTTGTAAAGGTATAACTGGTATATTTTTGTTTTTATTATGTAAGATTTTTTATTTAAGCTTGAAAAACGCAATTTACACCACTGAGGAGGCCTTATTTCCAATAATAACAACAACAGCTAGTTGACAATTCCAACATGCATTAACAATACACAGTTTTATGTAAAACCCACAGGTTTATGTAAAGCCCATGTATTATGTAATACACCTCTTAGATGAAACTGAATAAATAAAAATTACACATAACTACAAATCTAGAGATTTCCCTTCTGGTAAAAACAAAAATATATTATTCTACCCTACCCTCCCTGGCACCAAAAACACATCCTTGGAGTCTCCCATCTTCATTGAGGAGATTGAGGTTGCCATACGATTAATGAAAGCCAGTAAGTCCCCAGAGCCGGACGACATCACCCTATAATATTACAAAATGTTTAACTGACCCTAATCCCCCAATTCACCATGGCATTTAATGCCATCATTTAGAACAGACCTTTCCTAAAAAGGTACACATTATCGGGAATCCACAAGGAAGGGAAGGATCCCAGAAATGGCTCTAACTATCAGTCCATTGCACCTTAAAGATATTCACCAAAATGCTAGCACCCTGCATTCTCCTATTTTTGCTATCCCTTATCCATTCTGATCAGGTTGTTTTTCTTCCCAACAGAGAAGCTAGAGATATTATGCTCAGAAACCCAAACTTTATTCACCAGGTGAAGGAGACCAAAACTCCACTCTTAGTGATCAATTCTTATCAACAGATACTGAAAAGCTTTTTAAAAAGGTGTTAACAGGCAATTTACAATTTATACACAAGATGTTTCCCATATAGGCCTGGGGCCAAACATGTGCACTATGGTTCAAGCCATTTACTCTACCCCAACAGCAGCAGTTAAAAACAACTGACAGCTTCTCAGATTTCTTTTATACAACAAATGGTACCCCGGCAAGGCTGCTCACGATCTCTGCTTATATTTGTCTTAACTATGGACTCTCTCCTGCACATCCTTTGCAACTCTCCAAATATACATGTCCTTAGTACCCACTTGGGCCATCACAAGGTGGCGGCCTACACTGCTGAACCAATTCTCCTTCCATTTCCACTCTACGACTACACTCCCAAAGCCTGGCAATCTATTATAAAATAACAAATCAGATGCCATAGTTATCTTAATCACACAAGATACTGCTTACAGGATTCAAATTTCTCCTTTAATTGATGCATCAGACCTCACCAAACTTTATAACCTCAACTTAAAACCTCTCTTACAGATGTTCAAAAAAAAGATCATACCAGTTGGTATAAAGGCACATTTATATGGTTTGGAAGAAAAAAATAAAATGATTGTCCTCCTAAGACTTTCATACTTTCTATGAACTATATCTATCAGCCTCCCTCCTAAGCCCCTTTTGATGTACACTCTACCATCCTTCATTTGATTTTGGCCCAGAAAAGGGTGAAGCGTTTGGAGAAGTGAACAATCTAGGCCAAAATAAATGTTTTCAAAATAATTTCCAGTTCTGCTCACTTTCCAGTTGTCCCAGATTGTTCACTTCACCTTCTCCAACCTATTTACTCTATATACCCTGTAGAATTAGTGTTAGATTCCCTACCTCATTCACCATTTATGAGGCTTGTATCCCCTTTGTTAATTAGGAGCAGAATTTGCTCCATTTTTTTACATTTAGAAGTGTTGCACAAACTTTATGACTGTGCCACTCTGTTAATTCCCCCCAATGTTTATAAGCATTGTAAATCTACTTTACTTCCAGCTTCATGACACTACCTATATACTACTTTAGGACTTGTTAATCAGTATGACTTAGCTGCAGTTTCTTCTTTTTGTACTGTAATCGTATGTAATACTTGTGTTTGACTGACTTTGCCTCTAAGTTTTTTTTACAATAAAGCTAAAAATGCTTCATTAGCATGTCACTTTGTTCCCAACTAGGGTTCCACTTTCTTCTAAATTATAGACATGTTAAGTGACATGTAAACATGGAAACTCTTTGCACTTCCCAACGAGTCTAAACTTTATTCTTCAGAGCAAATTTAGAATCTTCTGTCTGTTTTTACTCATTGCCTTATCAGTCATCCATAGAGCATATTCCCTGACTAAATCTTATATTTTTTCAAAGACTAGGAAATACTGGACAACTGGTATCCGGTATAATTTAGACCTGTACCACCATTTCCCCATCCATAGTTAAAACATCTTTCAAATTTAAAGAAAACAAATACTTAATTTAGAGTATTTACTGATTTTAGTTCCTGTAACATATTTAGCTGCTTTACTCACGTTCACTGTGTCTGGGCACAGGCGGGAGGATCTTGAGATGCAGTGCATGTAACATCTGACCTGTTGGAAACTGAACTACATTTCCCATGATACCTTTACTGTGGGCTCACTGTGGTCCAAGACGTGACAGCCAATTAAAGTCTGTGGCGAAGCGAGTGCTGCAGTAATCGTACCCCCCCACAGAAAAAAGCATGATAGGAGCACATCAATGTTACCTTCAGTAGAGTACACAGATGAGATTACCAGGAGATATTTCTCCATAGGAAGGAAACAGGGCACCCAGTTGCATAAACTGGAACAACTATGAAACAGTGAATCACGGGAATGTTAGAAGGGGAGAAAGAAATGCAAGGCATTTTAAAAACACAAACCCATTTTTTTTGGACATGGTTAGGAAGCACCTTTATAATTATAATCGTATCCTTGTGGCTGGAGTTCAGCCCGACAGAGTAATTCAACAAAGATCAGAGACAATAAAGTTGAGTTTCAGTAATTTTCCAACAACTTAGAGCACCAGGGTTTGTTTACATTAGAAGGCTGTGATGCCCCTACTGCTGGAGAAAACAAGGAGGAGCTGCAATTTCAGTGCTTATGTTCTACATTTTAGAATTAATTTCCCCACAGTGCCCGCAGCTATGAAGGTGAGAGGGGTTTTTTTTGTACATCTCTTTTCCTGCTCTCTAAATACTTCAATGTCTGGCCACAGGTGAATTTTAATGTCTTTGCAGGATACTTAAGTCCTGGGAGGGCCATCTATAAAATGTAGTTTAAAAGTACAATTGTCCTGTAAAAGCAAATGCAACATTACACACAGTTCTGTAATAAAAAAGTAATCACCCTCTGTCTTCACACACACACACACACACACACACACAGACACACAAACACATACTGGTATCCGGTATAATTTAGACCTGTACCACCATTTCCCCATCCATAGTTAAAACATCTTTCAAATTTAAAGAAAACAAATACTTAATTTAGAGTATTTACTGATTTTAGTTCCTGTAACATATTTAGCTGCTTTACTCACGTTCACTGTGTCTGGGCACAGGCGGGAGGATCTTGAGATGCAGTGCATGTAACATCTGACCTGTTGGAAACTGAACTACATTTCCCATGATACCTTTACTGTGGGCTCACTGTGGTCCAAGACGTGACAGCCAATTAAAGTCTGTGGCGAAGCGAGTGCTGCAGTAATCGTACCCCCCCACAGAAAAAAGCATGATAGGAGCACATCAATGTTACCTTCAGTAGAGTACACAGATGAGATTACCAGGAGATATTTCTCCATAGGAAGGAAACAGGGCACCCAGTTGCATAAACTGGAACAACTATGAAACAGTGAATCACGGGAATGTTAGAAGGGGAGAAAGAAATGCAAGGCATTTTAAAAACACAAACCCATTTTTTTTGGACATGGTTAGGAAGCACCTTTATAATTATAATCGTATCCTTGTGGCTGGAGTTCAGCCCGACAGAGTAATTCAACAAAGATCAGAGACAATAAAGTTGAGTTTCAGTAATTTTCCAACAACTTAGAGCACCAGGGTTTGTTTACATTAGAAGGCTGTGATGCCCCTACTGCTGGAGAAAACAAGGAGGAGCTGCAATTTCAGTGCTTATGTTCTACATTTTAGAATTAATTTCCCCACAGTGCCCGCAGCTATGAAGGTGAGAGGGGTTTTTTTTGTACATCTCTTTTCCTGCTCTCTAAATACTTCAATGTCTGGCCACAGGTGAATTTTAATGTCTTTGCAGGATACTTAAGTCCTGGGAGGGCCATCTATAAAATGTAGTTTAAAAGTACAATTGTCCTGTAAAAGCAAATGCAACATTACACACAGTTCTGTAATAAAAAAGTAATCACCCTCTGTCTTCACACACACACACACACACACACACACACACACACACACACACACACACACCAATATAAAACAAAGCATGCTGTACCTTTTCCATGACTGTGCGTGCAAGCATGACAGGGTTAGCAATATTTTTGATGCAGGAAACTGCACCTACAGCAAGATTTCTGCCATCCATTATAATTGCATCAAGTTCCACATCACCCTCTGCATTCAGCACAGCACCGTGACCTGTAGAAAGCAATTCAGTTTGAAAGAAAAGAAAACATTACTGCCCTAAAGCTTTGGAAAGATATTAGAAAAACAATTTCAGAGCTATTTACCATGACAATCCTGGCAGCTATTAGACTTGATTACAGTAAAAAATATTTGCTTTTATTGTCGCAAGCTTTTAAGTAAATACAGTGCTTTTGGCAACATACTAATATCATTGCAATGTTTAGCCATAAATGCAGTGTCTTGTCTTTTACATCATAATGTCTGCAGGGCACAGAATTCTTCATGTACCAGCATACATTTGGTGGCTAGTATATTTTCCACCAAATGAGCGCGCAGAGAGAAGCAGGGATGACAGAACTATTCAAGCAACATTAAAGTGTTTTAACCACTTGAATTCCCTGAGTCCCAAAGTGCTTTTTTGTTCTGGAAATGTCTTAGTTCTGCAAGTTACATCTTTTAATTCTTGTAGTCTACCCTAACATGTTATACATTGTTTCAGGACAGATAGAGCTTCAAACGTGCATACAAACGTGCATACACATATTTATATATTTTAATTATTTGCATTAAAATTGTGAGAAAATTTGTAATGTGTCCAAATCAAGATTTACATAATTTGCACATCTCCATGTTTCCTGAAATATAATCAGAGTCTACTGAATAATATGTGATGAAATGTGATGATTATGGCTTACAGCTCATGAAAACCCCAAATCCACAATCTCAGAAAATTAGAATATTACATGCAATCAATAAAACAAGGATTGTACATAGAACAATATCGGACCTCTGAAAAGTATAAGCATGCATATGTACTCAGTACTTGGTTTGGGCCCCTTTTGCAGCAATTACTGCCTCAATGCGGCGTGGCATGGAAGCTATCAGCCTGTGGCACTGCTGAGGTGTTATGGAAGACCAGGATGCTTCAATAGCGGCCTTCAGCTCTTCTGCATTGTTCGGTCTCATGTCTCTCATCTTTCTCTTGGCAATGCCCCATAGATTCTCTATGGGGTTCAGGTCAGGCGAGTTTGCTGGCCAATCAAGCACAGTAATCCCACGGTCATTGAACCAGGTTTTGGTGCTTTTGGCAGTGTGGGCAGGTGCCAAGTCCTGCTGGAAAATGAAGTCAGCATCCCCATAGAGCTCGTCTGCGGAAGGAAGCATGAAGTGCTCCAAAATCTCCTGGTAGACGGCTGCGTTGACCCTGGACTTAATGAAGCACAGTGGACCAACACCAGCAGATGACATGGCTCCCCAAATCAACACAGACTGTGGAAACTTCACACTGGACTTCAAGCATCTTGCAGTGTGTGCCTCTCCATTCTTCCTCCATACTCTGGGTCCTTGGTTTACAAATGAGATGCAAAATTTGCTCTCATCAGAAAAGAGGACTTTGGACCACTGAGCAACAGACCAGGTCTGTTTTTCTTTAGCCCAGGTAAGACGCTTCTGACGTTGTTTGTTGTTCAGGAGTGGCTTGACAAGAGGAATACGACATTTGAAGCCCATGTCCAGGATCCGTCTGTGTGTGGTGGCTCTTGATGCACTGACTCCAGCCTCAGTCCACTCCTTGTGAAAGTCCCCAACACTTTGAATAGCCTTTTCCTGATAATCCTCTCCAGGCTGCGGTCATCCCCCTGCTTGTGCACCTTTTTCTTCCACACGTTTCCCTTCCACATACCTTTCTATTAATGTGCTTTGATACAGCACTTTGGGAACATCCAACTTCTTTTGCAATTACCTTTTGAGGCTTTCCCTCCTTGTGGAGAGTGTCAATGATGGTTTTCTGCACAACTGTCAGGTCAGCGGTCTTTCCCATGATTGTGATTCCTACTGAACCAGACTGAGAGACCATTTAAAGGCTCAGGAACCCTTTGCAGGTGTTATGGCTTAATTAGCTGATTAGAGTGGGACACTTTGAGCCTAGAATATTGCACCTTTCACAATATTCAAATTTTCTGAGATTGTGGATTTGGGGTTTTCATGAGCTGTAAGCCATAATCATCACAATTATGACAAATCACGGCTTGAACTATCTTGCTTTGCATGTAATGAGTCTATCTCATATATTAGTTTCACCTTTTAAGTTGCATTAGTGAAATAAATGAACTTTTGCACGATATTCTAATTATTCGAGTTTCACCTGTATGTATGTAAGTAATATATTTTTTCAGACCCCTTACTCAGCTGTGCAGCAGCAGACCTAATCTATTAGTGATCTAGTGCTGCAATCAGCCTGCACTAGATCAATGTAGCAGTGATCTGTTGCTGCATGTACGCAGGTAGGTAGGTACCAGCTCTGTCCCGGCTTTCATACTCAGAGGAAGTGCTGTGACACTACACTACTGATGTAAAAAGAATGCATATCACATTCACTTCTACAGCTCACTCCTTTGGAGAAAAATATTTACCTTTATTTCAGAACCCTAAATACTGTAATTTTTCCCTTGGTGTGCTTAGAAAATAACCTTTGAAAAACAGCATGTTGTGTAAAACCCTACATTTTTCTGAAATAATTACAACTCCTCAGTCCATTTTAGGCTGTTTCATAACAGAAAACTTGATTTTATTGTAATGTGCTGGGCTTTACCTTGCTTTTAAAGGTCTCCAGTTTTCTGACACCAGTTAATGTTCCATTGCATACTTCCTGTGTTTTTTTTTCCTTTACATATGTCCAGCATCTAACCATATCCAAGATGGTGCTCGCCATAGCCTTAAAGCAGAACTCCTGACATAAATTGTATTAACTCTTGCAGTGGGGCTACCCCCGCACTGCAAGGGTTAACTGCTTGTTTGCGGCTAGGCTAAAAACAAATCCTTGGAGTGCTTTCTTCTTCCTCTCTTCTCCTACGCTGTGTATAGAACGTGATGACTCAGGACCTTAGGTAGCTGCAGCTAGGGGAGAGAGGCTCCAGGGGCCACCTCTGAGGATCTGGTGCGTATAATTTTTTTTATTTTCCTCCCTAGACACAAACAAGCACTTAAGCCTTGCAATGAGGGAGTAGCCCCACTGCAAGGGTTAACAAAATTTGTGCCCAGAGTTCTGCATTAACAAACAAGCCTAAACATTACTTTAAACACATAAACACATTATAGTGTCACCTAGTGTTCACTATTGTTTTACTACATTTTTTGAAATGTATTAGAAGTTTATCTAAAAAGTTTTATCACATCTTGCTTTAATTATGCTGATCCAGATGATTACAGAACAACCCTAAGTGGGGCAGATGCTAGTACATCCTTTAAGTGAAGGATTTGGAGGCTTCTCTACCTTGTCAGTGGTAGTTGGTTTAATAGTTCACTTTATTAATTAGTCCCTATTATTGCTGGAGTTGTCACTTTTGATAAAAAAAAGTATCCAATGTATTTATTTATACTGTATTTACTACAGACTCCCTATATCTTTGGCCATTACCACCTCCTTTATCAAAGACTTAGCTTAGGCTTCCAGAACAAGGCCCTCTTTGTGTACTTACATATTTGAATAGTAACACAATGCTGAGAAAAACAAATGTGAAATTTTAAACAAATGCACAAAGTGGCTGTAATATAGTATGTGATCAATTCCTCCTAGGCTTTTCATTTTCTAATTTCTGACTGATATGTAGCTGCCATTTTAGAATTAAAAGATTATATAAACATAAAAAAAAAACCTTTTGTTGTTAAAAATGATAGAGAGAAAGGAACACTCTCATTCAACAGAAGCATACCTGCATCAAATACTATGTTGTCTTCTAGCATTTGCACAGCATATTCAACAGCATGAACAGCTCTCCCGCCATTTGCTAGTACAGAAAATCCACATTTTGCTGCATTTCTAACGCCATCCTTGCTGCTTTCTGCCAGATCATCTGGTATTGCCCATGCTCCTCCATGAACTACAATAACTGGCTTGATGTCCATTTTTCCGATACTGAAACTTATGAAATTTATGATGAGAAAAAATACATACATATCACTTGATGATAGTACAGACTTCTCTTGCTTTTGTTTTCTTATATTATATCTCTTTTACATGTGACACATGTTGCATTTTGAACAGGGCTTTATTATATCCTCATAAAGTCCCACAATGTAGAAATATATAATGCATTACAGTGGTCAGTGTAGAGGGAGGCAGGCACAGAGACAAAGCAGCATAGTCAGTATAATGCCTTTTCACGTGATCTCTTTGGCCAGGCCAAATCAAAGAGACCTATCAATGGGTCTGCTGTAAAAAAAAACTCTAGGACAAATTCTGGATATACATGCATCGAATTTCAGCCGGTTCCTGAAACTGGCTAACATTTGCACCTTTGTTGGCACCCTTCCACCCTGCATCCCTCGATCAGCTGATCAAAGAAGCTGGTTGGAAAATTCTCAGCTGAATGAAGCTAGAAGCCAATCAGCTGACGGCGGCTGTCAGAATACAATGCAAGCAGAGGGAGATTCGTCCATTAACGCTCATAAGCGCTGATGAAATAATCTGTTCTATTTTTGTTTTTAATTCAGCCTGCGGGTTCAACAAAGAAATTGACACATGTACACACAGTTTAAGGTTGGAACTCAGAAGTGAAAAAGTGGGCAGAAGAGGGGAAAGAGAGGCACTAGATGTATGCGCTTTTGCCGGAATGCATATCACAATAGAGAGTAGATCTACTGCCCATAGTTATTAATAGAGGATAATATTAACAAGACATAATTCCTAATAGATCTGACCAACAACTATTTTTTTCATTCAGTATTGCTTTATGAAACTTTTTTTGCACAACAGAACAACCAAAAGTTGCTGATTATATAAACAGTCAAACACAATACAGCAGTAACAGAATAAAATAACGGTGTGTTTACAAAATGCTCAACCCGAGAAAAAAAATACACCAGTAGGTAACTTGAAAAGGACATCTCCAGTGCAGGTAAAGAACAGAGGAAAAGAGAATACAGAATTAAAACCCACATTTTGCATACCATGTAGTCCACAGTACTCACAGTCTGTCAAATGGAACTTGTTTGAGCTGTTGATAGGCCAGAATTCTCTTATAAGAGTAGTGTAAATGGACCATATGCAACACAGAGGGTAAGGTGGGAGGATCAGTAGACCTCAAGTTTCTAGTAATATTCAATCTAGCAGCCAATATAACATTGGAAAGTACTAAATGGTAAGAAAATGGACAATTATCTATGCCTAAATGTAACAAGGCCAGAGCTGGATCAGGCGTGATTGGTCTTCCAGTTATATTACCAAGTACCCCAAATATCTGCTTCCAAAATTTACACGGATGCTTGCATGACCATAATGTATGGATCAAATTGCCTACCTGCCCACACCTATGCCAACATAGATTAGAGGGATCAGGGCAGAATTTTGCATTTTGGTACGGAGTAAGGTACCACCGCAACACAATTTGTTTTGAGAAAGCTTGCATAGGTTTACCCAACTAGAGGAGGACATCATGACTTTGATAGCGTTGGACCATTGAAGGGAAAAAAATTAATTGTTCAATTCTACTTCCCATTTCTGGTGGTCTGGATGTTTAACAAAGAAATATTTCTCCTGTAGAATGTTAAACATTTAGGAAATACCTTTAGCAGAGGAACAGGCATTATGATAATAAGACCAAACCTTATTGGGCACATGAGGTGTAAAAGGTTCATCGACAAGAGGAGTTGGCATATCTGGAGATAACAAAATGATTCATTGGTAATGAGTAAGTTCTCCTCAGGTCAGAAAAGGCTAGGTCCCCTTAGAGTATAAATCAGATACGGGGACTATTCCCCTCAGATACCCTAAATGAAGTCAAAGGTTGGGCACCAACATCTCGTAAACCTCAAGTGGAATAGGGAGCTTTAGGGGATATTAAAGAAGTGCAGAGGTGTTGCCATGCCTTGATAGTAGCTATTATAGTTGGGGAAAGGTCCATAAAAGAACTAGAAGACCAAAAGGGAAGAAAACAGACAATTTGTCAAGTTATGAGGTGATACTTGGGACTTCTCAAGGACACACCAAATAGTATCAACTGAAGGTCGGAGCCAGAATTTAAGTTGGTCCAGTAGATTTGCAAAGTAGTAATCTCGGAAATCCACTAAACCCATACCCCCATGATCTAGGTTTAATTAATTAGGGATAAGAGCAACGGCCCGTTCTTATGTTGCCATAAATAATTCTGTAGAATAGGAAGCAATGGGGACCTTGAGGTACGAAACAAATACAATTATTTGGGAAGAATCTTCCAGACCAAGTCAATTTTTGAGTACACATTTTTAGAAGGTCATAATGCAAGAAATTCAAAAAAAGGAAGGACATTTTCTTGATATAGCAAAGAAGTGGATCTAGTAAGCGTAATGCCTAAATAGGTTAAACCAAAGTCCTTCCAGACATACAGAAAGGAAGACATTAGGTTCTTACATATAGTAGAGTGTAATCCCAGATTAAGTATATACAATTTAGAATCATTTACCTTATAATATGCAACAGTACTAAATCTATCAATTGCATGTTGTACTGCTTCCAGGGAATGAGCTGGATTTGTTAACATAAAAATAACATTGTCGGCAAAAAGATGGATCTTGTGGTGAAAATTGTTTTTAAGAAAACCAGTTGTATGGGGGTCAGATCTAATACTTTCAGCAAACGGTTACATAAGGGGATTGAAGATCAGGGGAGAGATAGGGTGCAGCCCTGATGAGTGTTGTTTGTAATTGAAAATTACATTGAGAGAACTCCAGAAAAGAAAAACCTGTGCAGAGGGAGTTAGATATAGGGCTAAAATGGCATGAAGGAGGTTACCCATAAAGCTAAACTCCTCAAGCATTCACTCTAAATATGGCCAACATACTCTTATCAAATGCCTTTTCGGCATCAAGGCATAATAAGAGAGAAGGGGTCTTAGTCTTCTCTGTGTAAAGAAGGATATTACTGAGCCTTCTCGTGGCATCAGGGGTATGTCTACCTCTGGTAAAGCCTGTCTGATCGGTTTTAATCAGGGCAGGAAGGACATGGTGAATAGGGGTGGCAATAATTTTAGGAAACAATGTAATATCCGTATTAAGCAGAGAAAAGGGGCAGAAATCTTCCTGGAATGCAATTTAGCAGTTCTTGCACTCCATTTAAATAAAATGTCTTGGATATATGCCTTATGGGCATTCCATAATATAAAAAGGGATCAGACACAGAGTCAACATTCAAGAAAAAAATGATCAGTCAACTTTTCAGTGAGTAAAGCAGCATAAGCAGGTTGGCTTATTAGGGAGTTGTCATTTCTCCAGAGGCGCAGAAGACAAACCTGATGATCATGAGAAAGTTTGATAGAAATCAAGGCATGATCAGACCACTATATGTCATTAATTGTTGCCCCCGCAATTCCATAAAGAGGCAGCTCCACCAAAAATAGGTCTATTCTAGAATACAAATTATTAACTGTAGAAAAATAAGTGTAGTCTCTTTCAGTAGCATGCAAACAGTGCCAGATATCATAGAGTCCATCCTTAAAAAGAAATGAGCGGTGGGTAGGAGAAGGCTGTTTACAAGAACTTGTGGAGTCCATGTGACCATCAGACACTAAATTAAAATCTCTGCAGAGAATCAAGGCACCTTGTCTCACAGAGGAATTTTTTGAAAAGAATTAAATAAAATAAATAAAGGAAACACAGTTGACGCATATTGGGAGCATAAAGGTTAGCTAGTGTGAAGAGGGAATTGTCAAATGTGCCAACCAAAATAAGGTATCGACCTAGGGGGTCCTCAACAACATTATGAAGAGTAAACGCTACAATGTGCCCAATTATAATGAGGACTACATGTTTTTTCGCGCATGGCATATTGAGACAAGAAAATGTGTGAAAAGGCCTTGTGTGCAAGAGGGAGCATAGCCATGTTTAAAATGAGTCTCTTGCACACATAAGATATCCGCTTTAGTGCTCAAAGCTTCCTTCCAAGGGGTGGAACGTTTAGTCGGCTGATTAAGCCCTCTAGCAGTGATAGATACTATTTTAATTTACATATCGAATGATAATAACACGACTGGTTATGAGATTTACATGTGGTGAAATCACAAATAGTGAGAGTGGATTACAAACCATAGAGGGCACGATGGCATACGAGTGAAGAAGAGTCTAAACTGTAGAATATGATAAAACAACTAACAGGTCCTGCACTGGAATGTGAAGAAAACAAAAGAGAGAGGCAAACCAAACAAACATAACTATAAACTTGGAAAATAAGAACATAGAGATGTACCGTGTAGGATCCGTGAGCAGTAAATGACTGCACATGTAACAGGGAAGAAGAAGGTGGAATAACTTAATTCCTGCCTAGAACTCACACTGAACAGCTGAAAGCGGTGGAAAGCTAACAAATGAACTTCATATGTGCACAAGTCGATTTCTCCCAACTTGTGTAGAAGTTGCAGGTGGGGATCATCGAGTTTGATATTTCAGATGCGCAAAACTTCCATGCCCCCTTCCAAGGAAGAGATGACATGTGAAGTGCCATTGCGATTGAGAAGAATTTTCGTAGGATATCCCCAACGGCGGGCCATGTTTTTCCTAAGAGCACTGGTGATAGGCACCAACTTTTTCCGAAGAGCAAGAATGTGCTGGGACTAGTCAGGAAAAAACTGAAGATTGGAGAATTTGTCAGGCAGGCGATTCAGGTTTCGTAGAGTAGTGAGAAGACGCTCTTTAACATGAAAAAAATGAATGCACAATTTAACATCTCTTGGTGTTTTATCGGGTAAGAATGTAGGCTTTGGCAATCTGTGGAACTGATCTGTTACCAAGTCGGAGGCTGTAAGATCAGGTAAGGCTGTTGACATCAACTCTTGAACAAAGTGCAGCATCTCAGACTGAGAGACAGATTCTGGGATGCCACATATTTTGACATTGTTTCCCTGAGACTTGTCCTTAATATCAGCCAGTTTAGTTTTAATCCACTGAACATCATCAGTAGTATGATCGTGAGCATCAATAAGCTCGTTAATAGTAGAGGCAAATTCTGCCATCTGGTGTTCTACATGATCCATTCTATTGCCCATCGCATGCACGTCTGAAGCTGCTTCATCGGAGACTTGTCAGTATGATATGCACTTTGCAATGAAATCAGGATATCTTTACATGTGGTATCAAGAACCGGTTGGTTTGAAGTGGGAAAGCCATGAATAGATGTATCTATTTCTTCAGTATCATATAAAGATATATTAATCTGGCTCATCGTAGGTAGGTCATCGTGGTCCTCCGCCATGCAGGGTCTGGATTTGGTGGGACTCCCCAACTGCGAGGGTGTGGATGGTGCTGAGCGAGCAGAAACTCAATCTCCTTTAATGGATTCATGGAGCACAAGACTTTCCTCCAGGAGAGAGTCAGCAGAAGCCGTCTTGGGCCTGCTTAGATGCAGAAGGAGGGAAGAACTCGGTAAGTTTCTGTGGTCTATCCTTTCATTCATGTGTCAATCCTTTCATTTTTAGGTCATCAGGAAAGATGATATGGATGGTTTCCAATATGTGGGTGACAGTTGCTGTGAGAAGCTGAAAAGAGTTCTAGGCAGTGAAGGTGAGCAGAGCTCTGGTGCTAAGCTCCAATGCTGCTCACACGCCAACCACGTCCCCCTGAACAACTATTTTTAAACATGATGGTAATTGGTCACCAGGTCATCTTTGCTTCCTTTTTACCCAGCATGTGCTTGGATTCCCTGCAATACTCAAATACTAAGCATTTTACACAGTTACTGGGGTGCTAACAGCTCATTACTGCATCAGGTGCATCTTTCAGTAAGTTGCAATGGTTATGCAACTGGTGCCCAAGATTGACCAGACATTACCCTGCTTGTCAATCGCAGAGAGATAGCTTCCAATCTATGATGACCCTTATTTTTGTATAATTTTAAGGCATGGCCAATTCAGTGGGTGCCACCTCACTGCTTTGTTCATCCTAAAGCCAAACTAAATGTTATCAACAGAAGTAGGAGAGCAGTAGGTGGGGTGCGCTGCTGGAAGATCTCTTAGTTTGAACTCTAAAAAACAGTGCCGGCAAATTCTTTTATAACTAAATAATTTGCTTTTCAGGGTTTTACTTTAATTTACATCTTTAAAAAAAAATCAGTCTCTAAACTAAATATTAAAGTGGGCAAGTTATGTTATTTGCAGTATTGTAGTTAAAACCTACCCAATAGAGACAATGCTGATTTAGCATCTCCAAAGTACATGTAACTAATAATTATATTCCGTAAGTATTGCTAATTCTGTGACTGTATAACTGTTTTTTTAGGACCGGACACATTTTTACTTCAACCGTAATGCAGTATTAAAATAATTTTTAAGAAGTGCCTGTCCATTTGCCCACTCAGGGAAGCAGCAGAACCTGGAAGCAGTGAGTATTTACCAAAGGCTCACATGGAAAAAAAGTGGCAGAAGAGCACAGCAAAAGTAAATATAAGTAAATCATGCAAATCTTGGACACATTTATAAACTATTTGAGTGGTTCTTTAATAAAATACCTGTTATGTGCTCAGGCTCGTTCTCACTAGCCTGCCCACTAAAACACTCCATTTTAGCAGGTGGGCTAGTGTGGTTTAACCTCTTGCCGTCTGCCCGTAGTAGAAAAACGGACGGACGGCACTGCTGCATTGGCGGGTTGCCGTCGCCAGACGGCATTTTTTTTCTGCTCGCGCGCGCCCCCTAGCGGGCACGCACGGGCAGAGAAGACCCGTTCAATGCGAACACCCGGTAGCGGGTGTTTCACATATAGGCGATCAGCGGGTCCATAGCCCGTATTTCGGTGATTTTTCCTTAATATAGTAAAAAAATAAAACCCCCAGTGGTGAATAAATACCACCAAAAGAAAGCTCTATCTGTCCCCAAAAAAGGGTATAAAATTCATTTCAGTACAGCGCTGCATGACGGAATAAATGTCAGTCAAAGTACCGCAGCGCTGAATACTGAAAAATGGCCTGGATGGGAAGGGGGTTTAACACCGCGGATGTCAACTGGTTAACAGGTCTGATGTGAAAGACACACATATCACACTGTTTACTTTTTTCTTTCTTTTTCCTTCATTTCAAGTGTAAAAACTATGCACTCCATTCAGGTTCTTACACAGCAGTACTGCGCTGCATTGCAGTGACCTGTTTTGTGGTCCAGTATGCTACTAAAAAAATACAGCATGTTGGCATTTTTTCACATTGCAATGTTCTACATATCACACCTACATTGTAGTGTGAAAGAAATATCATCTATATGCCCTAGCAGTGACTGGGTTTCTTTAGTCGCTGAAAAATTATTTTGGACTCTCCACTATCATTTACCTACCATCTATATCTTTAATTCCATCTATACTCCCCTGGGAAAAGTACCCTCTCAATGCCGTGGGCATGTGGCGCTCGCTTCCCCCCCTTTCCCTCTGCCAGGCCCCTGCTCAGATTAAGGGTCTGGTATTGAATTTTTTTTGTTTACAATCACATTTTTCATTCTGTTTACTATCTCTTAGATTGTGGTTGTGTGGGAGAGCATGGTGTAGCTTAGTCAGCACCATCTCAGGTGTGTTCATTTCCTGGGCTGGGGAAAAAAAGTCTATTAGTCTATGTGGCTGAAAGGGGCCATTGTGTCAGGTTGATAATCCTCAATTGCTTGTGGGGTAAAAGAGATTCCTCAGATGTGCAAATGGTTGCAGGTGTTTCTGCGGATTGCTGTGGATCTCCTCTCTCAGATGGCAAGTTACTTCTGCGGACAAGCCACACCCCACATATGAAGGGAGGGCATTGCAATGAAGGAGGTGGTTAAGTTGCTTTACTGGGCCAAAGGGCATGCTAAGGATTACAGAAAGTCTTGCTAATGTTACAACACATGCTTAAAAATGATGCAACAACTTGGATTTAGGCATCACACACAAATAATGCCAAAAGCAAATCAGCGGTACGTGCTGTGAATTCATTCTTCCATGAATCATGTAAACTTGCATGATTTACACATCCCACGTATCAGGGGTGACCATCTGAACAGAAATAAAAATCCTTCGGCATAGTAAAAAAAAAAAAAAATATTCCCCTGTGTATTTACACGTTAGCTTAGAGTTAATTTTATTTGTGTAATTAGAAGATTTGAAGGCTTTATACCTTGTACTTTATAGATTTGTATCTTTATGATAATTGACACATGAGTGTCTTACTGCTGGTAGTTAAGACAGGCAGATTGATCAAAGTTCCTCTTTGCATTTCACTTACTCATATGGATAAAAAGTTATGATTTTGTATGGTTCATTATGTTGTAATATAACTTTGTGTTACTTTTTTTTATTAGAATACACTATTAACAGGGAGATCTCGCTCAAGACAACTTTAATATTGCATTATTTAACAAGTACTTTTCCATAGCAACTTCAGTTTGCTTTAGGAAACTCAAGAATTACAAACCTCATGCAATGCAACATACCTGATATAACAGTAACTTACCTGCAGCTTCTTGGAGTCCTTGGAATGCTTTATTCACAAAACCATTTCAAGAAAAATCAGTGTCAGATGCATTCAAAACATTTAGATCTTTCTAGCAGTTAAACAATGTTGCAGTCAGGCACTTTTCAAAGCTAAAACATTATACTGTGCAAGTTTTCCTGACAAGCACTCAAACCTGTTAATTATTGACTGTCAGCTTTACAATAAAGTGGCATTCATAGCTGGTTTTCTTAACCCTTTTGGTGCCAAAGCCATTTTTCCCAATTTTTTGCACACAAAATAAAATGCATATTTTTAACGGAAAATGCAATAAAAACCCTAAAACATTATATAATTTCTCAAAGCAGATTACTCAAGGAATAAAAACTTGGCAGTTGCAATTTCTTATGTTGCACGGTAATAACGCAAATCTATATTTTCAATATAAAATACATTGAAATTAATTTTAATACATTTTTCTGTAAGTTATAAAAGTTAAGACTGAGTCACTTAAATATATATCAATTATACAAATGTTATACATATAAATAATATAAATTAAATATATAAATTTAAATTTGCGAGTGACTGCAAAACACAAACAGTCTGCAATACCCACAATTTTGCATAGGCATGCTTTAAAAACCCTTACAGCTCATCAATTTAGAGTTAAACATAAATAATAGCAGTAAAATTATTCCTCTTACTAGGATGTGTGTGATAGAATCTCATATGTTCTGCGCAGTTCTCGTTCATGTAGTCGTGTGTGCCATGTGCATGCATTTGTGTTTATATATGTGCATAAGGGGGCAGGGTGACTTTAATTTTTTTTATCGGATATATTTTCATATCATTGCTATCAAAAGGGAGCGGACACACCTCCTAGGAGATAGCACATAAGGAGTGGCAAGTACCTTTAACCGACGCATTGGGGTCTTCACCCCAGCTAGATCATGTACAAACTGTCCTTGATCAGCTGTTTTCCTGGCCACATTGGCTGACAGCTCTAAACCTGGAATTGCTTAGAGCTGAGCGCTTCCAGGTTTATTGGTTCTAGTGATGACAGGGAGATGGATCTTTCCGATTGCTATCCTGACACTGCTGATGGACTTCCCGGGCTGCCGGGGGGAACAGTTGAGCCTTGGACATATGTGGGCACCATCTCTAACATATACTCTAGAAGTGATTGGGCAGCTTTACTGTCATCCTAATCACTTCTGTATGCATGCCCAAAGCTGGCTGAATAAACAGTAAACAAAATACAGTATGTTTATATCCAATACTGCCATGCCATAATCCTTATGGCAGCAGCAGTAAAAAAAAAAAGTAAAAGGGTTACTAATCCTATATAACACTATGTTTAAAAAATACAAAAAGAGATATATTCTTTTATATTTTTTCTATTCCCGTATATTAAATACTTTAAATTGGTCTTTTTTCCACCCTGTGTAGCTGGATGCAGCTTATGCTAAAACATTTCTTAAAGGGAGGATCTTTGGGTCATACTTTACAACTCTTCTTTCATTAATAATGACAAAAAATAACCTCATAATATTAGCAATTAATAAGTTAGCACTGAGCGGCAAAATATAATTTCATATCCCTCACTACATTTGCAGAAATTGGTACAGAAATAAAAAAACACTGACATAGATATATTTTTATCCAGGCATAAGTGCCCGAAAACTTAAAAAGTGTATGTAAACCTAACAATGAACATTACTGATCATGTCAGCGTTGTCCTGTGCTAACTTTAGATTTGCCTATGTGTTGTGAAAATGGGAGAATAGGTGCGTCTGAATAGTTTAGCAAGAGAAAACTGGGGGGGACACACAGTGTTTCCAGAAAAAATGTTGGGTGTTGTCAGCCCACAACAGGAGCTGAGTGCATTTCTAGCATTTCAACAGGTATTTTTCTGTACTTGCAGGGTATTTACATGGATAGACATCCGAAAATGTGCATGTATTGCAGAGATAACCTGCTTTTTTAATTTACCCTGACATACACTTTATAGGTAAATTAAGAAGGTCGCATGCAGCCCCAAGGTCACCAGTTAATCATCAAGATAATGTTAGAAAAAGCTACCAAGTGAAGTTACAGCACAACACACACAATTTAAATGTTATAATACGATGATCATACAATGCTAATACATTAAAATACTTAAAAAGATGTATACATACTTACCACAACGTTATTTAATTCAGGAATCCTGGATCCTCTTCTTGCAACACTCATTACTGGCTTAGTGCACACATCTGTCACAGTCAGCATACCAAAATAGAAATAAAATCCAGAGAATGTAATACTATAGTTAAAGTTCAGAGAGTTCAGTGTGAGCCGTATGCAAATTCCTTCTCATGCAGAATGGTAACCTGTTTTTCTTTGTCAAACAGTATCAAAGTTAGAAAGTTAGGCTTCAGTGTAAAAAAAACAACAACAATACACATTATATATATATATAGATATATCTATATATATATATATAGATATATAT